TTTCCCGACAATTGGAAAGAGTCAGAACACGCACGATATAAATATGGCGATTATCATACAGGTATATAATACACTTAGATAAATTAACATAGGTGGTACAAATAATATACAATAGTTGAAAGAAATGGCAAGCTCTCGAAAAATTATCCCCAGAATAGTGTAATCGGCAAAAATAAATTAATAGGTACGCCACTGATAGTCAGTGCGTCCTTTACTCTCGCATCAGGCGAGTACGCACCAAAAAAAAAAGGTGACTTTACGCTCGACCAGCAGCGTAAGGTATCGAAAATATTATACTAAGTCAGTTAGTATGAATTTCCGAAAATTGAAATATCAATTAAATAAAGAGAAGGATGCCATTCCTAATAACGAAATCGAAAAATACGTGAATAATATAAGGCAAAGAAAAGAATTATTTAAAGTCAAAATTCAATAGAACAAAGCGACATATAACGCCGGAAAAGATCGAGAAGCCAAAAAGATATTCACTTAGAACAACCGGACAGACTCACGGGGAAACGGCCAAGCCGGAGACGCCGGGACCCTAGGTGTTTCCACGTGGCCGAGAAGATAATCGGTAACTTAGAAAATATTCGACAATTCCAAAGCACTAAATTACCGCAAAACGCAATTAATTACAATATATATTTAATATACTAGGTACTCTACGATAATAGAAGAAAAGCGAAATAAGATAACGGAATCCGGCACTATCGTCCTTTTACTTAGAGGGACTGGAACGACATTCAGTCCCGGTAAGCGAGAAAATTCGCCGTCGAGACAAAGTCCCTAGACGGAATTGCTTCAATTAAATTCACAAAATCTCTACAATAAAGGTAACGAAAGGTGCTCACCAAATCGGTAAAATACGGAATCGCAAAATAAGTCCTCAGACTTCCTTCCCTCAATTTGGCTACTTTCAAAGACAGTTTTTAAAATTGAACGGGTTGAGTTGATAGTTGCCATTGAAGGCCTTGTTATCGACGAAGCCTATTATAATCCGCTTAGGTAATTGGCCGAGAATCACGTTATCAATAGTGCCACCAACACCGTTGACGTCTCGCTCTGAAGCTGCTGAGTGTTCCTTCGGAAGGATCGACAGTTCCGTCGGAGTCTCACAATAAAGGTAACGAAAGGTGCTCACCAAATCGGTAAAATACGGAATCGCAAAATAAGTCCTCAGACTTCCTTCCCTCAATTTGGCTACTTTCAAAGACAGCGAGGTCGGGCAAGGTAAGCTCAGGGACTTCCTTCCTTCAATTCCAATAAGTCCAATTACGGCAAAATCGGCTGGTCTTTGTTCACTATTCGTACTGCAACCCAATGCGCTCCAGGCTTCGTATGATCGTCCGTGTTGGCGACAATGGCAGCGGGTTTCGACCAGTTTCGGGGGATTCTATCAGCTGCGTACACACCCGTCGTATGCTCCGATATACCGCAAAGGTCGAGGTAGTCAGGGACTTCCTTCCTTCAATTCCAATAAGTCCAATTACGGCAAAATCGGCTGGGCTTTGTTCACTATTCGTACTTTTCAAAATCGACCACAGGCTAAGATGCTCCAAACGTAAGTGAACGAACCGGAATTCGTCGCTAAAGGAAGAGCCGTAGGGGCCCCCTTCCATAAATTATTAATTCCTAATTCGCACGGTAGAGCGATAACACAATATAATGATACAGACTAGGTAAATCTAACGCTTGACGGTAGCCAGAGCCGAAGCATTAGGCGCCAGAGTTCGAAGATAGGCGGAGAGAGCCGAGCTGAGCGCGGGAATCCTAAGTGCGGCCGATCGTGAGTACTCGGTGCGAGCAGCAGGATCCAACGAACAGTAGGCCCTGGTTTCTTCTCCGGGGGCCACTGATAACAGGAGCGCTACATCGCTGTCGGGGTCCGTGAGGGAGAAACCGTCTCTCGTACGTACGAGCCGTAAACGAAACTCAACAACATTTAATAAAAATTTTTCTTGGTTAAACACATCGCAGTGTAAATGACCGATCAGATCGACCGTCTTGTCTTTACCGACGAACGCTTGCCTATTCGCGAGGCCTATATTCTTGCCAGCTGTATCGTCCATATACGAACAGCAGTTTGGTCCAGCCTCTGTCGATCGCTCGTCCGGTAGCTCAGGAACTTTCGTTGGCGGTCAGCCTCGTGCTCGTGGTGTAGACGTAGATTCGCCCAGGACGGTAAAGAAGGTAGGCGAGTGCGAATAGGAAAGCTCGAAAAATAAAAAATAAAAACGAAAAAAAGCAGAAAGGCGGACCAGAAATAAGCAGATAGGACGATAGGCGGAAAAAGATTTAATAGCGTCTCTATATAGGCCCTGTAAGCGTACGCGTTATTAGGTGGCGATACGAGTTTCTGATTAAGAATGATTGAACAGCTGATTGAACAGCGAGTGTAGCAGATTGTTAACAGGGGCTGCTTTGCTTAGAGCGTCAGGAGCTGACGCATCCTTGGATCGCAGCTGTACGCGTAAACTCAGCATGGTGTGGGCTAGATCGAGGTATTCGTCGCCGTTACCCGGCACGACAAACTCAATGGACGAGTCATCGGTCAGCGATGAGATGGGCTTATAGTGTACCCACTGGGCGCTCTCTATAGTGGTTTGTGTCGGTGGTAGTGTAAAGAGCTCGAGCTCCGATTTCATACACTCGCAGGAGTGAGCGTGTAGAAAGGCCATGATAGAGGTAGCGTTTAGGAGAAGATATCCAGCACACTCCGCTTTACTTTCTTACTAGCGACCCCACGACGATTTTTGGGTTTCTTGGTTTTTGACTTTATTTTTTTACTACTTTTTTTTTCGACGCGGAGCAGACTTCTTTCCCGTACGTCTCTTACGCTTGTTAGCAGCTCTTGAGGCAATGCTCCTTTCAGCGACGCCGATGATATAGTGGGCGCCGCGTGATCGTTTTACAGCTTTATAGCCCGATCCTTTCATGAGCTCGTCAATTTTCGCCTCCGCCTTACGTCTAAGATTCATACCCGATTCGGAGGCCTTGGTGCGAAACGCCTGTTTAAGCGGAGCGCCGCGCTCACTGCCTCCTTACCGACGGCTCGGGCTCCTCTCGACAGCAAAGGTAACACACGCCGAAACAGACCACCGAGAAAGCTACCAATACCATGGCCCCGTTGATAAGGTGACCCCGCGAATACCCGAAATTTTGTGGAATATCCCCAACCGATCTGCGAGTCGTAGTAATCGGTGTAATGAGCCATCAGTCTAGCCGTTTAAAGTGTAGTGTTACGGAGAGCGTCCCTGATTCGAATGGTATAGGTTCGCCTAGTTGGTCTCTTATATCGATGTCGATCGTTTGAAAAGTCGTGCGGAGCAGTGGTATATACTTTAACGATGAAAACGAGAGCATTTTCATGGCGGCGTACGTGTATTTGTTATCCCTTTGCAGGCGAACCACACGAAGCAATGGTGTTTAGACGTCTCCGGTGATATACGGCTCGCAGACATCGGTGTAAACAAAAAGCATCTTAGGTAGGGCGTTGATCAGGCTAATCGGCTGATCGGCCATCACAACGGGCTTTGCTTTCGATACCACGACCGATTCGGGAAAACCTAGGATGCGTGCCAGAGATCGGCAGAGTCTAAGTTCGTGCGGGTCGTTTAGATCGTTATCGGTAGAGACGAACGATACGCTCGCGTAACCACCTCTACAGAGCTCTAATTTCAGACGGCCCTTCATAGCCCTGGTAGCGTTTATTTCGTCAACGAGTGTCTTTACGTC